TAGAATGATAATGGACCGTAACAAAACTTGACAGGTGTTCTAATCCCTCTCCACTCTATTGAACACTAAAAAAAAAAGTTTTCCGTTTAGTTTTAATTTAACCATTAGCCGCCCGGCCTATAGCCGTTTGGCGGCCGCAAAAATGCCATCCATTGTATACTAGTGCCTAGCTGTGAATGGTCACAGCAGGTCACATGCACATGTCATGTGATTAGCTGTGGCCAAATCACAGCTAAGCACAAAAAAAAAAAAAAAACCTGAATGAATCATGTCATTCAGGTAAATGCTTGCTTATAGCAAAGTAATTCTTTGCTATAAGCAAATTGTGTAAAAAAAAAAAAAAAATACTGATCGCTTCCCCAAAGTAGTACAATGTTACTATGGTAACATTGTACTACTTTGGTCATAGTAAAATAAGAAAAAAAAAATCTTAAAAAAATTTAAAAAAATGTAATAAAACATTAAAAATAATAATAAAAAATATATATATATATATTTTTTTTTTCATACTGTCACCAGTCAGTGTCCCTGTTCACCGCTATGCCAGTTATATGATGATGCTGTACTGCACTGGTGACAGTATGTAAAAAAAAAATAGTGAAAATAATTTTTTTAATTTTTTCCTTTTTGCGAAAAATTATGACAAAAAATAATAAAACTTCAAAAAACTCGCCATTCCTCTTATGAAGTACGTTGGACTGTCTACTCTGCAAAAAGGGGTCATTTGGGGATATCTGTACTGTTCTGACTTTCTTGGACCTCAAGAAATTAGATTGGCTGTCAGTACTTCAGGATTGATCAATATTCAGATCTATACCATAGTTTGTGAACTCAATAACTTTCCTACAAGCTAAATAATACATCCTAATTTGGGTTATTTTCAACAAAGACATGTAGCAGAATACATCTCGGCCTAAATTTATGAAGAACAATTATTTATTTGTAAACTTTTATAACAGAAACAAAGAAAAACGTGTTTTTTTTTTTTCAAAATTTTTGGTCTTTTTTTTGTTAATTTAGCAAAAAATAAAACCCCCAGCGGTGATTAAATACCACCAAAAGAAAGCTCTAGTTGTGTGAAGAAAATGATAAAACTTAAGTTTGGGTACAATGTTGTATGACCGCGCAATTGTCATTCAAAATGTGAGAGCGCTGAAACCTGAAAATTGGCCTGGGCAGGAAGGTGTAAAAATTGCCCGGTATTGAAATGGTTAAGCCTAACCAAAACCACAAAAACTTAAATATTAATAAAATGAACTAAAGGCATATCAATAATGAAAAACACCATTTGGTGGCAAATGTAATTGTAGCGTGCTTGTCGTACACATCCCTATCGCCATATACTGGGCAATTGTTACTTGTCACGCAATAGGGTTGAGGCTACACAAGGCTGGAGTTAGCCTCTAAATGTTGTTTTATAACAATGCCATGAGCCCATAACAGCCATTTGTCCCCTGGGTTATGTATGTTTTAAAGACCCTCCTGGAGATGAGGTTCCTCCATTCCAGCTCTTCTGGATGACACACAGGATGACATTATGCAAAGAGGTAGGTTAAGCTATTAATATGTCTCATAGACAGATGCTTCATCCAAAGGTTATTTTACTTAGAAGCAGTCTGTGTATAAGAAATCAGTGGAAATCCTGAAACAAGTAGCAGGGAAGAGCAGCTGTGCAATTTATGACAGCAGACATTACATTTAACCTGCAATAACCCATGTAGAATATATGGCTACAAAGAATGTCATTTTTATGAGGATGCCCGTAATCTATCGTTAGAAATAATTTTCAAGAAAATACATTGGCTATCCAGTAATGAAAATATAGTTTGTCTATCAGTATTTAGGAACCTGCAAATAACAGAGTAAAATAATAGAGCAAATGGGTCCATCATCATTAGAAAGGTCAAGAGACAACAGATTAACCTGTGTACAGTAAAAAGTGGTCCACTTATTTAATGGTCCATTCATTTAACAATAACATTTTTCGAAGAACTTTTCCTCCAGCTTTCCTTCCTATGCCACAGTGACATTATGAAATCATGGTTTTATAATAAAAGCAAGTGGGTCCATCATCACTAGAATGAAGAGACAAAGCAACCTGTGTGCAGCGTAAAGTGGTCCTCTCATTCAACCACAAACTTTTCCACCAGCATCCCTGCCGAGGTCCACTTATTTAATGGTCCACTCATTTAACAATAACATTTTTCGAAGAACTTTTCCTCCAAGATGCCACAACAGATCAAATCATGGTTTGCATAATAACAGAGTAAAGCAAATAGGTCCATCATCACTAGATTCAAGAGACAACAGACAAACCTGTGTGCAGCGTAAAGTGGTCCTCTAATTCAACCACAAACTTTACCACCAGCATCCCCTCCGAGGCTACAGTGACATCATGAAACCATTGTTCTTAGGTTGTGCACACTGCATATCTTTCTCTATTCATCATTCTATATATGCTTGGTGTTTACCAAAGTTGGGGCAATGGAGTTACACATCCACACTATGGTCACTACATTGCTTTAGGTATTTAAAGCAGGACTGGCATAAATCACGAGGACAAACCTCTTTAGTTCATGGCTTTGTCTGCAAGTCTCTATGGTGGGAGATTAGGATCACTCCATTGGAACTGATAGGCACTAGAGGGAATGTAGTGATCTTATCACAACTTGTTGACCAGGGGTACTGTACCTGCATCACTGTTTGCCAAAGAATGTAACAGAACAGTCTTTACTGGCAATCTAATCAATAGATGGCTTCTCTATTACAACTCTATGGCAGGCGCAATGAAAAAAAGACCATGTGAAAACTAAAAGGACCTGTGTCAACAGACTTTTGTTCACATCAGAACTGCTTTTCTGACCATACAAGTCAATGGCAATGCAAAAGATGCTTGGAGCTGGCTGATGCAGCTAAGAGGGAGGTCAGATGCAGGTCGGAAGGAGGATGACTGCGGGTCATAAGTATTTGTCAGTGAACTTTGAATGATCTCAGAAGACTCTCAATCTGATGTATAATGCTCAAAAGAGCAGGGCCCTCGAACCCCTCGTGTATTGTATTGTTTCTGTCTTGTCTCATGTTCTGTCCCCCTTGCTATTGTACAGTGCTGAGCAAACCCTTTGGCGCTATATAAATACTGTATAATAATAATAATAATAATGCAAGTGGAATGCATCTGAAAGTATTTTGCATTTGCCCATCCTCCCAAACACAAAGCCCGTCAACACAGGCCCTAACAATAAAAAAATATCTGTCTACAGGTATAAAGGGCTAACACCTAGAGGTGCCTTTGCATACCTGCAGCAGCTTTCAGGCCAAGCTGACCACTGTCTTTCTGAACTTTATTGATGCGCTTTTACCCCCTTCCTGCCCAGGCCAATTTTGACCTTCCAGCACTGTTACATAGTTAGTCTGGCTGAAAAAAGATAAAAGTCCATCCAGTTCAACCATTAAAAAAAAAAAGTTATAATCCTACACCACAGTTGATCCAGAGGAAGGCAAAAAAAACCCCCCAGCAAAGCATGACACAATTTGCTCCTACAGGGAAAAAAATTCCTTCCTGATCCCCCGGGAGGCAATCGGGATATTCCCTGGATCAACTTTACCTATAAATGTTAGTATCCAGTTATATTCTTTAAAAAACAATTGCGCAGTCATGCAACACTGTACCCATATTACATGTTTATCATTTTTTTCACACAAATAGAGATTTATTTTGGTGGTATTTAATCACCACTGGGTTTTTTTATTTTTTGTGTTATAAACTAAAAAAAGTTAGAAAATTTTGAAAAAAAAAAAAGCATTTTTCTTGTTTCTGTTATAACATTTTGCAAATAAACAATCTTTCTACGCAAATTCAGGCGAAAATGTATTCTGCTACATGTCTTTGGCGAAAATAGCCCAATTAGTGTTTATTAGTTAGTTGATAGGAAAGTTATAGAGTCCACAAACTATGGGATATATCTAATAATTGATCAATCCTGAATTACTGATGGCTGATCTCATTTCTTGAGGCCCAAAAATGCCAAGACAGTACAAATACCCCCAAATGACTGCTTTTTGGAAAGTAGACAGTCTGAAGTATTTGGTAAGGGGCATGTCAAGTTTTTTGAGGTTATAATTTTTTGTCATATTTTTGTGGAAAATGAAGACATGAAAAAAAATTTTCACTATTTTTTTTTTTTTTATATACTGTCACCAGCACACTACAGCATCACCATATAACTGGCGTGGCGATGATCAAAGACACTGACTGGCAACAGTATGTTAAAAAAAAAAATAATTCAAATTTTGTATTACTTTTTAAAAAACATTTTTTTTGCTATTTTTTTTCCTACTCCTTTTACCAGAGCAATACAATATTACCATAATACCATTGTATTACTCTGGGCAAGTGATCAGGATTTTTTTTTTTTACATATTATGATTGCTTATACCAGCGGTCACTAAATGGTGGACTGCAGTCCGCAAACAGTCCCAGCAGCGCTGCTGCCTGGACATCCAGCCCGCCAGCACTCAATGACAGATCCGCCGCTGAGCAGGGTGGTGATCACGGCAATATGACATCATGTGTGTGCCCTGCCCATTTTAACTCACTGTCTCTCCGACTCCCGCTCCCTGCCTGCACACAAGCGTCCAGCAAGGATCCATGCACAGCTCCTGTCTGCCCTCAAGGTAGGTGTAGTCTTACAGGGGCACTCTGATGGCCACATTGAATGTTAAGGGGCACTCTGATGGGCACAACATGGAATGTGCTCATTAGAGTGCCCCTTAACATAGCATGTACCCATCAGAGTACCCCTTAATATAAATATGCCCATCAGAGTGCCCCTTAACATAAAACGTGCCCATCAGAGTGCCCCTTATTTTATGGTAAGGGGCACGCTGATGGGCACATTTAATGTTAAGGGGCACGCTGATGGGCACAACATAGAATGTGCCCATTAGATTAACATAGCATGTACCCATTTAATATAAATGTGCCTATGAGTGCCCCTTATTTTATGGTAAGGGGCACTCTGATGGGCACATTTAATGTTAAGGGGCACGCTGATGGACACATTTAATGTTAAGGGGCACGCTGATGGGCACATTTAATGTTAAGGGGCACGCTGATGGGCACATTTAATGTTAAGGGGCACGCTGATGGGCACAACATAGAATGTATCCATAACATAAAATGTATCCTGATGGGCATAACATAACATGTATCCATCGGAATGCCCCTTAATAAAAATGTGCCCATCAGAGTGTCCATGTGCCCATCAGAGTGTCCCATTAACATAAAATGTGCCCATCAGCATGTCCCTTATTTTATGTTAAGGGTCACTCTGATGAGCACATTTTATGTTAAGGGGCACTCTGACAGGCACCATTTTATGGTAAGGGGGCACAAATGGGCACATACTGTGGAAAGGGGTACTATGATGGGGAATATGATGAAAAAAGGGCACTCTGATGGGGAAATATGATAGAAAGGGGTACTTTGAGTGTAAGGGGGCACTCTGACGGGAATACCTGATGCAAGGTGGAAATGTGATGGGGATACCTGATGTAAAGGGGCAATCTGATGGGGACAACTGATGTGATGGGAATACATGAAGTAAAGTTGCACTCTGATGGTGTCACCTAATGTAAGGGGGCACAGTGATGGGCATACCCTATTCGGACCTCGGCCAGAAGAAAATTTTAGCAACCGGACCTCCTTGAATTTTAATTCAATACCCCTGGCTTATACCAACAAATTACATTGGTACAAGCAAGAATTTTTACTGAATTAAACTGATTAATTCAGTAGATTCAGTAGCTGATTACATGCAATAGATGGGCTGTGATTGGCCTAGTCTGTACATGTCATCGCTGTGACCAATCACAGCTCACAGCACAGTTGTAAGCAATGAAGAACTGACCGTGCTGTGCTCTCATGCCTAGTGTGGACTGTTTTTAATAGGAAAGCAGAGGGACTGGCAGGAACACCAGGAATTTCACACAAAGGAAACAATACAAAGAGAACAGGAAACTTTTTTTTATACAAGTACATGGTATAGCAGGCACAAATCCGGAATATGAAATGTTGGGTTTACATGTTTTTTAAACAAATTAACCAGAAGTGAATCCTGTAAGAGCCTTATGGGTCCTTCAAGGGAGAAGTTCCTGATAAGGCCTGGTAAAATAAATCACATTCTCCACAGTTCAAGAACCCATAGGAAATAGTAGGGAGGTACAGCTATAGGATGGATATAGTTATCTGTATGCAGATAGATGGTGGTTCAAGCATTCTACAAAGACCAAGCTCAGAAATGGTGTGCTTTTATAGTCACTGACCTGCAACAATGCCAATAAGTAAAGCCAAGGTGACACAAAAACACTTTAGAGTTGATTTGCTAAACGCAAATAGGCTTTTCAATTTGTAAGATCATTTTTCCCTTAGCTTAGTGAATGTGGTGGCTTGCACAAGTTGGATGATGGAGGAGTTTCACCTCATTCAGCTAGGGGAAAATTTCCTTGCAAAGTGATCAGCGATATGCATTTATTAAATCAGTTATTGCATGCATGTTATTGCCAGCATCTCAACGTATGAAAGCCTGAGCTCCAGAATGGCAGACAAAGGAACTAGAGATTATAGGAGGAGAGAAAAGCTATGGTAGTCCCTCCATGGCTTCCTCATTACAGGTTTACTTTAACATAATTATTACATATTTAAAAGGAACAAAAAAAAAAAACTTACAAGTATTTTAGGTTCGGTAGGTTGGCAAATGCTCCATGACCAATATATACCAGATGTTTTGTGTTACGGATAATTCTGCAAAAAGAGAAAATGCCATTAAGTATTGTCTTTTGTATTATACAATATTAGTACGCAACTATCTTGGCTGACTATACTGCTCATCACTGTGTAGAATGCCAACCTTTTTATTTTGGGTCCTTCCATGACATTAAAATCTGCACAATTTGTTAATTCATTTTTTAATTGTAATATTATTTTTATATAGGCTGTACCTAATTTTATTATTTTATTGTGCTTGACATTACATTTTAATTCTGGTAGTGTTACTCTAAATATTCTGGTTGATTGCAGCAGGGGGTTAGCTTGAGTGTGGCTTCTACCTCTGCAGATGTGTCTTGATATTCTGTATTCAGAGGTATAAATATCTTCAGAGGACTGATCCCAGAGAGAGAGTCCTGTGGGAGTAGATCCGCATGGACCAACTGCTGTGATGTGGTTTCTCCTCTTCATCACCACTCTTTCAATGGGCAAATTTTCAGGGAAACCAAGCTTCATTAATTTTGTTAATATGGACATCATCCAAGTCAGATATAGGCTAGAAACAAATGGTGGATTGCTACAACCTCCTCTAAAATCTGTAACAGCTCTAAAACTCCTGGCAAAAAGGTTTCTGAAGCCTTCCAGGTACACAATCCATAGGAAGATGCTGGCACATTGGTATAGGTCAGAAAAGTGGTTATTTTTAATATTGTAAACAGAGGAATACAGCCACAAATATGTCAACGCATTTCAGCCATGTCATGATTAGGGTCTAAATGGCCAAAACGTGTTGTTATCTTTGTGGCTGTATTTGTACATTTACAATAATAAAAATAACTACGTTGCTGATCTATATTGATGTACTGGCATCTTCATGTGGATCAGGGATGGGCTGCACTAAGTTCTCTATGCACCTTTATAACCACTAGGAACAATGTTTTGAGTGAGCAGCACAGCCATTCTACTCAGCAAAAGGCAAAGCCAATTGCATGCAATCAGTTGTACATGTATGTGAACATGTCTTGGAAAATGATGTGAAGTGTATCTGTAGTTTCTGAGTTTGTCAGTAAAAAGAAACTTTATTTAACTGACGAAGTTGTCTGTGTCATCTGCTGAGAGGAGTGTCTATGTAAGGAACAAGTGTAACCTTGCTGTATCAAAAGAACCTTATCCTGGGGAGTTAAGCCATTCAAACCTTTGGGTTAGGTGGCCTTGGGCTGCTGCAGAACATTTCTGCCAGGCTGACCCTTGCCCTTGCAAGTAAATACATTTGAGAGAACACACATTTTAACCTTTCAGGTTGGGACACTCTTTCAAGACATATGAGGTTGATGGAGGCCCTGATTGGTGGGAGGACAGGTGTGCTTCATGTTCCTCACCCCTTGGCTTGGGCTCCATATTGGAGCCTGCTGTGGTGCAAAGTTAGCCTATGGAGCTGGCCTAGGAAGTAACGAAAGCAAGGCTTTGCCTCAAAACAGGTGTGGTAGCTTCCTATGGTGTGTTCCTGTATGGTGAAGAGAAACCAAAATATATAGTATGGCTATTGATGAAGTAACATGTGTCAGTGGGGGAATGGGTCATGTTCTGCATCCCCATTGTGAGATGGTAAAGGATACTGAACTAACACCCTCCTAGTCAGCTACAGGTAGCTAGACCTCAATTGTTAGCTAGGACGGCTGAGTAACAGCCTGGGTGTGATAGCTAGCAGGGGTCAAATCATGGTCTGAGCTGAGAGGCTCTGCAGACCAGCCCTCTGGAATTTCCCTCTGCTCTAGAACTTTGAAGAAAGGTCTAGAAGCAGTGGGTGGAGCTGAGGAGTGGCTGATCTGCACTTTTGAGGAAGCCTGGCAAGTCCCCAACAGGAGGCTTGGCAAGGGGCCAGGAAAACCCTTAAAAATGATTGAGTCTGCTCAGCTGCAGGAGAGTTCAGGTGGAAGTCAGAGAGAAAGATGTGAGGCTGAAGGCAGGAGCCTGGGAAAGGGCCCAGATGGAGAGAGGGGCTCACCTACAGGCAGTTGGAGCTGGGAAGGACGAGAGCTCAGACCCTCACTGGCTCCCAGAGTTAGGACCACATGTGCAGCAGGGAATGAGCTGCCCAGCTAGAAGGCCTGGTAGCAGTCACCAACCCACCAGCCGCACAGCAGAAGGACTGAGTGAGTACACCACCTGAACCCCCTGGGCCAGATAGGGTAAGGAGCACTTTGGTGGGAAACCAGATTTACCACCTACTGGGCTGTCAAATTTCTTAAAATGACAGGCACCGGATCCCCTGCTCAGGAATACCTCCAGACAGCTGGGTAAAGAAGAGTTTATCTGGGCTCTGGGGTGATACTATAGGAGATGCTGGCTAGTTCTCCAAAAAAGACTGTATTGCAGCAGAGATTTGTAAATAGCTCCAGGAAGTTGTCCTCAGTTCATAAGTTCCATTGGGCATCCTATATACTCCCCTACCCCATCCAAGTTGAAATTCCCCTAATAAAACATCAAAAAACAAGCTCAAAGACTGATTACTGACTCCTGGATACAAGTATGTGGGAAATGAGTGTTGCCTGGCTATGCAGGACTATAGGGGGACCCAGATACTCAACAAATCCTAAGGGAGTAGTGCTACACTGAGAATGAGAGAGGAGGTTTATAGTGTCTGTTGGTCCTGGCTTGAAAAGGATAATGCCATAAGAAGCTTAGTGTGGAAAACTACTTTATGGCTTGTGGTTTCTAACCTGCCCTGAAGGGGACAAAGACCCCACCCTACAAGCCAGTCAGCTAATTTCTTTTGATGTTTTTTTAGGGATTATATTAAAAAAACTTACAAGAAATCAACTTTGTCTGAAAATGACAATTAATCATAAGATTCATCACGATCGTGGTCACTGTTAGAAGAACTACTTGATGCACAGCCTGTGCTGTTACATTATATGATAAAGATTTTGCTCATATTTTCAGGCATTTTATGGCAGGTTTAATATTGCAAGGCACAGCAGAAAACTAATAGCTCATTGATAAATACTATTTATATTCTTTGCCCTGATGTGCCTTTGTGGCTGTTAAAAGTGTTCTTTGTAGCCATTGGGAACCAATCTTGGGGGGAGAAGGGGGATCTGTATGGCTTACCTGAGGTCACATCAAAACTAAAGCTATCCCTACACCCTTTTTAATTCAATCTACAGACTGGATTTTAAAACAGCAATAGATTTCTTCATCCACATTATACAGGTCAGATGGATGAAGCTCTAGACAAAACATGTCAAAGAAAACATTCTTTCTCAAACATCACCACTTCCTATTTTCGTAAACTTGAGTTTTGTGTTGCATTTTCATGAATATCAATTTTAAAAAAAATGCCGTGTCCCCAACGCAAAATACCTTGTTGGGATACTAAATATTATGTAAGAGACACAAAAAAAATCTCAAGCTCTTTGTCTTAATTACTGCTGCCTGAATTTGTGTCCTCATTTTTTGTGGTCACTTGCCTGACAAGGGGGCACTGCATGGCCCCCAAAATATGCTTTTGTATGCACCATGTGACCACTTAATAAAGCTTTGGACCAGTTTGAGGAAGGAAGGTGCACTGGTGACATTTCTTCACATTGAGTGTCTATGGTTACCAGCTGGCGGTCACTTCAGCACCCATCCACACTGAACAGCCATCTCCAGGAATGTGTGCGTTGGGAATATCGTGATTGGACTCCTATAGAAGGTGGAATAGCTCCCGTTTCAAAAATTTCCTGTCTCTCCAAAGGTACTGGTGTGGGCGGCATCTGACTTACAAAATGACACCCACCAGTGGGTTCTGTTCACCTTCACCTCCTCTTCTTTCCTGGGCCT